TGTGAGTTTGCAGCGGGAACAAGTAAAATAACATAACTCAATTGTGAGTTAGAATTTGAGATGTAGAGTTGACAATGAACTTATGAATTTTTTTAATAATTTTTTATTGCATATAAATATGAAGATATAGGTGTATCTTGAACTGCGGATAAATAAATATATAAATTTCTACTAATGGAAAATATCAGATAATGGCGTCGGGTTTGGAGCCCCACCGACCCTTTTTAACTTGAAAAAAGTGATAGTAATCCTGGACATATAACGCAAGCACATGCGTAAGCACTGTACGGTATCAACAATGCATGGTGGCGATGATGATGAACTCTGTTCCTCCCTCTCACCAAAAGCATTCTTGGTTGGAGTTTTGGCAAATTTGTCATCACTTTAATTGTGTTAAATTAATTAGAGGAACAACCAACATTTTGCTACAAGGATAGTAAAGTCATTTTACTGTCAGGATTTTTGCGACCAGAGCTCGAGTGCCAACCTTTAAAAGTCCTAATTAGCGGTGACAGAGTGAGTTTATAGGAAGTGTATGAAAAACATCAGAATCAATTAAAAAAAAGTATTTTCATGTAACATAAAACTTATCTCACATAGTTACTTATAAAATTACTTCTAAAAAAAGTCATTTTATAAAAAAGACAATTTTTTTTTTTTAAAGTCGACAAGAGCTTCACTATCATCATGCTATTTAACAAATCACAAGATCATATATTGTCATTTACTATCTCCGGGCTTAATTATAATATATCGTTTATAGTTTAAAAAAAGTTATAATTAGAATTGGAGGTAGTATATATTAAAGTGGTACCTATTTCCTTCAATTATTTCAACGCATGTGAGAAGTACGAGCAATATAATACAGAGAAGTCAAAGACGAGGCACCTACAATTTGGAACCAACCGAACAAACATATTTCTATAACCAACAACCATGCATCCCAACCCCACAAATCTTCCACTCTATCTCCATCCATCTTTGTTTTAATTTTTCATCACAACAATTAAAATATAAACACACGTCTGCTGTAGTCCTAAATACAAACTTGATGGGTTATACAGTAAATAATCTAGAAATTAAACCAAGCTAACTCTCTATATTGGCTTGATACATTATACCATTAATTTTTTTCTTCTTTAGTCGGTGTAATTCTTGTAACATTTTAACTTTGCCTTGTTGTAATAATAACTTAAATAATACGACCTCTAATTTTAAATATAAGAGCCAGTTGACTAATTTGGAAAGATTAATTAGTTACGTTACGTTATTTGTAATAAATATGTATTGTCTTTCCTAAAATATCCTTACTAATCAAGTTTATTAGTCAGAACTACTATTCTTAATTAAAAAGACTATTTTGGGAAAAAAGAAGAATAAATATGAGAGACAAAATATATTAGAGTATTATATTTAGAACCACAGTACAAGTTAAATGAGGTCTTATATTAAGAACCGGAGGTGGTATTTCAAACATATTTACGCAATTTAATTAATCAAATTTTCTGTAACTCCACAAGACATGTAGCAACCCGACGTGAAGCTTATCTCAAAATAATATATTTAGTCATCGCGATATCCCACTCAATCTTAACTAACTTCAGATACATATTCACAATTCATTCATCTTTGAACAGCACCTCAGGCTCCGGCCAATTAAATTAAAACTCCCTCAGGTCGTTGGCCGATGAAAAAGAACAACAACAACCTCAGGTCCAATCAAGGCCCACAACTTCGAAACCAAACTACCAAAAGTCAAAAATACCCTCCGTACACCTTAACATGACCTCTAACAACTGCATCGGTTTTAACACACATGTAAGTGTCTGATATGTCAATGTGTATTACGTATCAGACAAATCCTACAACAAGTCTTATTAATACTAACTAAATTATGAGTAACGGAGTTGGTAAAAAGTCAGCTTATAATTTACAAGATCATGAATTTGAATCCTATTGTCGATGTGAAGACTTTGTTGGTAACTCCTCGATGTAAGGACTTTGTAAATACTTCTGTAAACGCTCTCTGAGCCTGGAAGTATATCCTGACCTTGACGAGTTCCTGAGACCAAACTCACCTAGACTTTCGTGTATCAAAAATTATGAATAACGGGTCTCACTTTGAAATTCATATATGTAATACATAAAAAAAAAATCTCGTGACAAACTTAAATTCGATTTCTTGAAGTGGCTTTAAATAGGATAATAAGAAAAAAAAATGCACAAAAAACGAGTCTCACTTTTAATATATACGGGTGTCCTAAAAGAGAGTGATAATTCACCTTAAAGTATGGAGGCTAATCTAATAACTCCTGTATGCTCCTATGTACCATATCCTTAACGCAGATTCTAATTAAATTAATAGAATTTCCACCAAGTGATTGCTCTCCCTGAATTTGCCTGGATTTACTCCAATTGTGGAGCTTTAAAAGAATGCACGTGAACATCAAACTATATTAATTATTAGTATTTTATTTCCAACTGCCCAATAATGCTTGATTAATTAATTTTTTAGAAAATAAAAAATTATAATTCCAAATAATTGACGCCTATATAAGACATTTAAAATACATCTGATTCCCAGGTCCAATACCAAATCGACAATAACATATCAAAACACACGATCGAATAATACACAGGCAACATGTCCTTGACACTAATTAAACCCAGTCTTATCCTGCATGACATGAAAAACCTTAGCCCATGATTTTTATCATGGTAGTTATTTAGATCCCCACATCTTATAACATCAAATTAATGGCTTCATAAAACCAAATCTAAATGGGATTTGAACAAGTGGCAGTTGAATCTAGTATAAAAAGTTAATCTTTTACGATGAACTAATATTCGAATTTCTGCTAAGAGAGATATTCGTATTTAATGTTTACGAGTCACTCAAATAATAGTCTTTAATAAGAGAATATCCGCATTTAAACTTAAGAAAGACCTCAGAATGTTTCGAGGATCTCTTGGAAAAGTAGCATAGCACATAAGAAGATTGGAGTGGGTATCAATCACTTAATTGTTGCCGTCGTCATCACTGCACTGCCTTTCCTATAATTCCTTCCACTTAGTGACGCTGGTCAAGGACTTGAAAAGTTTTTACCCTTCGAATTTCCTCTTAATATGTCAATTAAGGCTTCGATTCCCAGCTACCCCCCTCACCGTAACAAGCCACCTGGCAGCATCCCGGTCACCCCACGATCCCTTCTGTTCACCTACTCCGTTGAGTTACATCGCCCGTTTTGACATTCTCGCCTGTCTCATGGACTTTCATTGGCCCGGCAGAAACTGAGACGCACCCAACTCCTCATCTTCCCGATCCGGCTTGCATATTTTCGTATTTTTATAATTAAATCTTTATTATTTATTATAATAAAAATTTTATTCTTGATAATAAATTTTTGCCCTTTTTTGGGTTCTGCGCCAAAAGACTCGAGGTCTCGAACCCCATTTTATTGGGCAAAGGAGAAGGCATGCCGTCATACGGAATAGGACCCCTGATCTGGTCATCGGTGCGACCTGAGACTCGTGGGTCCCACGCTTCTTTCTTGTGGACCCGCATGGATGCCACGTGGAAGCCGATGGTAGGCCTCTCCACGTGGGACGTGACAGCAAGCCGCGTATGTGATCAGGGAAGGAGTGGCCCACTCAATTTTATGATCCAAACTTTGTATTTTTGTTTAAGAAAAAGAAAAATAACCATAAAGAAATATACTTTTCTTGTGTTTATAGATATGGGAATCCAGGTTCGACAAATCTAGGGGTTACGGCGTCTCGTACAGTCTCGAAGCCTTTTCCTTGCACGGGACGAAGAGAAAGTTGAATTAAAATAAAGCAAAAGAGATAAAGGAGAAGCCTAACACTATAAATAAAATTATCAGTTTTCAATTCAAAATAAAAAATAAAAAAATTATCAGTTGAAATTATTTTCTGTTAATAATAATAGCAACAACAATTACTGTATTGCTACAAATAATATAATTATAAATACAAAAGGAAAGAAAAGCTTGCAGTTCAAGTTATGTTTTGTGGTCATGGTCGTAGCGAATAAATGTCCCACCACTAGGCGCGACTTTCTCGTCAGCCTGACGCCACGTAGACGCAATGGGAAGTGGGAACGCTAATAAAATAAAAGATGAAGAGCGGAGAAAGAGAGAAACATAAGTCATGAAAATCACAAATAAGGACCCAACTTCTAAAAAATTCATTTTACAGCCGTATATAACTATATTTAATATTTATTAATATTTGTCAAAACTCGATTCAAATAACAACATCATATTAAAATTTTTTGGTTAGTGGACATGATATTAAAGTTCACTGTTAATATAATTTTAATTTATTAAGTTTGTCTTTGTTTTAATTCTGGTCTCTTAAGTTTTAAATAATAAGTTTTGGTTCTTGAGATTTTTTATTTGAAATAATTTAATAAAAATTTAAATATTTTGTATTTTTAGGAATCAAAATTTATGATTTAAACTTGAGGAATAAAAATAAATTTGAGGACTAAAAATTATATTAACTTTAAAATTTAATTATTTAAAATAAATGATTGGTGGGATCCTTATATGAGTTTTCATATTCTGGGTACTTAGTTGTGATTTTTTCCAAACAGTTTACGCGTAGACAGATAGATGAGACCGCAAAGGGACTGTAAGCATTCATGGGTTCAAATAGCAATGAAAAAATACAAAATAAAGAAAATAAAGAGACAGACTGAAAGAGAAAGGAAAAGGAAAAGTTTTCTCAAATCTGGACGAATAATAATAAATAAATAAATATTATTAATAGAAACACCTAAGCGGATAGGAAATCAAATCTCGTTCTCTGCCCATTTTTTCTTCCCGTCTCCTTGCACGATTCACACCTGCCTGTTCACACTTGACACCACCACATATATATAAATCTTTCTTTCTCTTTCTCCGTCTTTTCTCTCTCCTTAGCGCAGAAATTCCAATCTTCTTCTGTTCCTTGTTTTCCAAGCTCTACTTTATAAATCTATGCTTTTATCATAGAGTTCAAGATTTGACGGTTTAATTTAATGGAGGGGCATCATCTCCATCATCATCCTCATCTTCATCCTCTTCATCTCCATCGTCAATCACAACAGCAACCACAGCAACATCATCACCACCACCAGCAGCAACATAGTATCGGGGGTGTTTCGGTTAACGTTGATGTCGGAGACAGGTTTCCTCAATGGAGTATTCAAGAAACGAAGGAGTTCTTGATGATGAGGGCAGAGCTGGATCAGGCTTTTATGGAGACGAAGAGGAACAAGCAATTATGGGAAGTTATTTCCAATAGGATGAAGGAAAAGGGTTACTTTCGAAGCCCAGAGCAGTGCAAGTGCAAGTGGAAAAACCTCGCCACCAGGTACAAGGTATCGAATCTACCGATGACTCCTAAAAACTTCAATCAAAACCCTCTATCTTCACCGAATCCCGTTTTCTTTCCCATCACAAGTATACTTTACACAAAAGTGTAACTTAGGGTCATTCTCGATTTAACTGTTACGATTTCACCCATATGCTCTAAATTTTTCATGACCCATCTCTTTTTTATCCTCTAGTTGCTTGTAAAAGTGGTCCTTTTGTTAATAATCCCAGGTAAACCATTTGACATCTTCGTGTATATCTATGAATTTTCGTGTCAAGAAACTGTGAGGAAAGTTCTAACTACCTACTCCAACCTATCCAATAGCCATGGAAAAAACAAAACTATATACATATGTCTCTCAAAAAGTATATTTAGTATCCCATATTTCTGCAATCTGCATATCGTGTAACATGTCGGGTCTATCTATACTTTGTGTTTGTCCAGTATAGATGATGCATGAGACCACGAGTACGCATATATAGTATATATTCAGGGTTGCGAGGTTCACGCGTCTTACATAGAATTATCTGTGCATCTGTGAGATTTGATGAAGGGATGTGAAACAATGGAGCCAGAATCCCTGAGGCAGCACTTCCCATTTTACAACGAGCTTCAGTTGATTTTCACAAGTAGGATGCAGAGAGTGATTTTGGCAGAAGCCGAAGGAGGTGGCGGATCGAAGAAGAAGGCGCCGCATAATCTCTCGTCAGATGAAGAGGAAGAAGAAGATGACAATAACAACAAAGAAGACAGTGAAGGAGATCAGAAAGGTACTCCGAGTAGCAGCAGAAAGAAGAAGAAGAAGGGAAAGGGCAGTAGTGGTAATTACAGTAGCGGCAGCAGTAGTATTAATGATAGCTTGAAGAATATGAAGGAGATATTGCAGGAGTTTATGAGGCAACAGATGCAAATGGAGGCACAGTGGATGGAAGCTTATGAAGCGAGAGAGAAGGAGAGAAGAATGAAGGAGCTAGAATGGAGACAAACAATGGAGGCATTGGAGAATGAGAAGATAATGATGGATCAGAGATGGAGAGAGAGGGAAGAACAACGAAGGCTTAGAGAAGAAGCTAGGGCTGAGAAAAGAGATGCTCTTATCACTGCTCTTCTAAACAAGCTCTCAAGAGACGACATGTAGATGTAGTTATTTAATTAATGTTAAGCACAAAATCAAAACCAAAGCTGCAACCTTAAATGTGATGAGAACTATGTTCGTTCCAAGAAACTCTTTCTCAACTTCCTCGAAGATTTCCCGGTTTCCGTCATCATTTATTGTTTTTGTGTTGCTGGCTGACTCTTTGTTTAACGAAAGCAATGGAAGAAAACGATGAGGTTTAATTGCACTGTTATTTTTCCCAGTTCACTCGCTGCTCTTTCAGATTTCTTTGCATAGCCAAGCAAGCAGGAAAGAGAATGATTAATTCATGTGTACTCATTATAATATGATTTCTTATTCGTCTTTGGAATTGATTGAGAAATATTGATGTAGTGAAGAGAGAATGCTTCAAAGTTCAAAGAGACTGATTCAGTCTTGGGTGTTGGTAGTAGGTGTAAGCATATAAAACAGGAAAATTGACATTACCTAACGAGATGTGGAGAAGAACAGCAAAACATAGTGTCCGTCCATATATAAAGAGATAATGGTTGAAATCATCATAATGTCTATTCCATTCAGAAGGTACACTCTTGTACGGTTATATAATGGGGCATTTGCAAATTGCAATCCCTCACTTCACAAACAAATTAAAAAGTACTCTCACATTTTCATTCTTTTTTTTAATAATTCCCATCTGAAACTGATCTTGATCATCCCTCTCCAGATAATAATCTTTATACATATAATCTTATCTTACAGATTCAGTTTCCTACTTGTTTAATAATGTGAATCAAAGGAGAAAAGTTGCAAGTATTGAAAAGGTCGCTTGATTTTATGTAATAGATTGGGATGAACAACAGCTTTTAGCAGCAATTGATGGGATGTCAAAGCTTTTGGAATTTTCAATAGAAGGATGCATGAGAGGTATATATTTTGACAGCTAGATGATTTTGTGTGTGGCGTGTTTGCATGAAACGAGATATATGTGTGTGTTTTGAAATTGACTTGTCTCAGCTGGTCATAGTATGAACTTGTGACTTTTAATTGATGTTATTTGGGCTATGGAGGCTTCTCATCATGATTCATATGGACCATACATTCATTCTTTTCATTGAAACTTGCACTTTCTCTCTCTCTCTAAGCTTTTCAGATGTAAGTACTATTATTAAGAGGTGAGGGAGAAATTAAATGCAAGATATTATAGTAAACTATGTCTAAATAATACTATATATTAGTGTTAAGTTTTGATTTCTTTTGTGTTTTTGACACAACATTTATCAAAAAGAATTACATCTTTAATTTATGGCTTGTAACTATAAATTAGATCGTACGGTGCATTGCGTATATATGGAGTTTCGATAAATATAAGTTGCATTATTTATATCATCTTCGATTCTTTAATTAATACACACACATATCAAATTTGTAACTTATATATGCATGGTGTGATTGCGGCGTTGGTGCAAACCTAAGAGAATGATGACTTTGGGTTATACTAAGTTTGAAACTGAACGGATTTGTCTTTTATCCCATAATTCCTAAATTGATATTTCATGCTTCTTTTAGGTAAGGATTCATGTATGAAATTTCGTGAGTTTAATATGTGGTCGTGTGTTCTGTAAGTTTAATTTGTCCTATAAACTATAAAGTGTTCACATTGTAACATTTAAAATAATAGTTCATTTTTGCCTGAAATAACTTGGACTTTACATATGCGCCAAGTATAAAAGAATGCCCTCAATTTTGACTCAAATTGTTTCTTTATGTTACCTGTCTATTCTGATAAATGTTAAGACCTAGTATATATCTGCAATAAACACACACACACACACACACACACGTGCATATATATAAATATGCTTTGTTTTATAGAATATATATAGTACCACAATTTGATTGTTACGTAATGGTTAAATTTCTCTCCATTCACACATTTTGTTGCATTCAAACTACATTCGATAATATATACCTTGGAGTTTTGGTTTGAACGATTGACCAGAAGGCTTGTGTGTGTGTGTGCGTGTGCGTGTGTGCGTGTGTGTGACTTTATCAATGAATTTTTTAGTACAAACACACAATACTGCATGTTTGTAAAAGAGAATTTATAATGCATGGTAGTATAATAGTAGTAATATACATGTTAAAATATCAATTTTACGACGAATTGGATGAACTATATAATTAATTAATTAAAGTAATTAAGATTAGGCAAAATAATGACTATCCTGTTTGATCATTCTAGACCAAAGTTCAGATATGTAATTATATGTTTTAAGAGAGTGATAATTAGTTAATATAGAAGATTTCCCAAATTTTGAATGCAATTTCCCCTATGCATGTAGGTTCCACACTCAATATATATATATATATATATATATCAATCTTTTGGTGGTTCAAAAAGATATCAAAAGGAATGGACAAAAAGGATTAGATTCTTGTGTCAAAACGCACATAATGAGATCTCCTAGAATTTAGACTTTTAGAAGAATACAATTCTGATTAATTTGTTTAGAATTGTACTAATGGGTCCTCTGAAACCAAAAGTAATACAAAAACAAATCCTACTAAGTATACTTAATTAATTATTAGGTGTTAATCTAATTTTTTGCCGATGTAACAGTAAAAATGGTCCCAAACCAAGTTGGATGGTTGTGGAAGGAAGAACACGGATTTCCCAGAAAACAATGTGCTGTCCAGTGAACCAAATAATTGATAATTTCATATCAAAACGGTCTATTCATTGATAATTATAAGAAATAATATCTTTTTTGTTTTTTCTAGTCATTGCATTTGCATTATGATTTGCCTAAAACAGTAATGTTGTGACAATCCGTAAACGACGACCCGTTTTGCTTTGTTTATTATATATGATGTTCTCTCTCTCTCTCTCTCTCTCTCTATATATATATATATATTTATATATCTGTGTTTATTTTTTTTGGCCAACCCCTCTCTCTCTTGGCGCGCATTGACCGACACATATGTAAAACACATAGCTAACATCCAACAATAATCTACCCACCTACGACTGCACCTTCACATGAAGTTCTATATCCTTTCGAAGAGAAAATCATAGTTACTTTAATTATATAATTACATATGTGTTAGCCAAAGTTTCCTTTTGTTTTTTCAAGTTGTTTTCTATTCATAGGTGAGAACAATTGACGAGGTTCTAATATATCTTCGTCTCCGTTGACCAAAATATATACACGCATATATATATATATATATATAACTCCTCTTTTTTCTTTTTTAATCGATCGGATAGTTATATGTTTATTTATGTAATGGAAAACTGGGTCCTTGATGTGGTGTTTCTAAGTGAAATCAAAATTAAAAGGTCAGAGCCATGAGACGATTAATTAACATTAAACACAAACGCGTTTCTCTGACGGTCAAGTTTTTAGCAATATATTTCTATAAATTTATATATCACCGCCTCTGTCTCTGTCGTCTACATAAAACATTCTTAACCTTTAAGATTCGAACCATCCTTCTTCTGCAATTTCCAAATAGTCAACCACGTTCAGATCTGGAACTCTACTTTACAGCGCATCCACACCTTGTTCTTGGCTGTAAATTCGGTGAAGGTTTTATATTTAATTGAATTAACCGCACATTATAATGAGTATGCACATAAAATCAGTGGGTCCAAGTTCCAAAACGATTCCAACTCTCTGGTTGCCTGCCTCTACTTTCTTCAGCCACAGATGGAAAAGTCAAACATAGCTTCATGTTTATCTTCCCTGTGTGGGTATGTCGACAATTTTCTGATAAATCTCTAAAAGTAAACGCAGAATATTTGACATTTGTTGTGTCAGATATTGTAATTAATCATCGGGGTTCTTACTTAATAGTATATTGCTAGCTAGCTCATTAATTAAGGCAATCATATCAACAACAACAATCCTTTGACATTATTCGTTTTCATCATTTGATTCCGTATTAAATTGATGATATTGGGCGTGTTTTTGTAGATCCTTCTCTCTAATTAAATTGGTATTTACAAGATTGTTGTAGCTTGTTATGAGTCTCATATCATATTAAAGAAAAGCTCTTCTTTCTAATAGATTATGAGGCTATTTGGGAGGGTTTAAAAAATTCCCTATAAGCACGTTTCATGTAAACTGAGATAAAACTCCTCTCACATATTTGCCTCGTATTTCGTAAATCACTATTGAAAAGCTACTTATAAATTGTTCCAAACAGGCTCTATACGTTTAAACAGCTCTCCTAAATAAGTTAGCTTTTAGCTTAAACTCTCCCACTAGCTAGATTTATAACCTGATCTTATTCAAATAACGTGTTTTTATATGCTATACTCCCTCCGTTCCTTATTATAAGAGACACTTGATGCTTATGCCATGTTCCTATATATAAGAGACACTTACAAGTTGTCTCTACTTTTTTGTGTTGATTTACTATTTTACCTATATTTATTATCTCCAACTCACACTCTCTCTCCCTCCCACTTCTCTTTCTTTTAATAATTTAATTGTTCTCTCTCATGCTCTCTCTCCTTATTAATGAGGGTATTTTTGGAAAAAAATTATACTTTTTATACATTAATTGTTCTTAACTAACTTTAACTGGTTTTTTGATCAACGTACTTCGGTTATTTGTCTCTTATAATAAGGAACGGAGGGAGTAATATGCAGCAAATGGGAACCTTTGAAGAATTAAAATATCATGTATTGTTGGAGGGGTGCATATCATCAAAGCGACAATACTTTGTTTCTAATTAAATGTACCCACATGTGTTCTAATGATGATGCATCAGAAAAAAGTGGTGGCCATACTTACTCCTTATAAATGCATTCATTAATTAATTTCATATTTTGGTTCCACATATGTGTGAGGCTGAAAAATATATGCTCACATAAACTTGGAACGAACTTGATGGGTCTAACTGGAAATGTATGTATATATTTACTGAAAAGTATCAAAATTTAACCGTCTAAAATTTTATTAATATTTCCAGCACATCATTCCAATTTCATCATTATATGAATCTTCGGTTTTGTACTGTACCTTTTTTTTTTTGGAAATATAAATA